GTGACAATTCTCCCTGTGAATAATTCAAGCAGGTCACTTTCCTCTGCTTCTTCAGCACAGCACACACTCCTCCTATGCTGGAATCTGCCCTCATCCTCCAGCTCCACTCCCAGTGACATGCTGCTGCTCAGTCACCTTTTTTCCTGGCCATGGATTTTATTCCATTTTGCTGCTATCAGGACACTGCCCACCCCTGTGCTTGCACGTCTCCCTCTCCACTGCCACTGGCATCTCTGCCTCAGCCCATTTGCACCAATCTAAAAGTCTCCAGGGGAACCAGCTCTGTCCACTTTGACACCTGCTGTGTCTGCAGCTTTAGATTGGCATATTGTGAGTTTTTAATAAGTAGTGATTTAATAGTAAATACATGAGTGAATGAATGACAACCATAAGACAGCTTTCTAAGGAATAAAAAACAAACTACAAAGAAAGTGAGTGAGGGATAGTTACATCTATTATTTGGCACTCGCCTTTAAGTCTCCTCAAATTACTTAATTTAAATAATGAAGCCTGTTTCCAGAAGTTCAGTCTTTGCTTCTTCATCCCAAAGATATTGTATAGAATTTTTCCTCAACTCTTCTTTCCAATGTATAGCTGTAAAATCATGTTTGACGTCTTCTAATTCTTAAATCAACTGCCTATTAGTCACTGATATACTAAGGGAATGTTTGGTTGAAAATGTTAATAATTTACTAGTAGCAAAGTGTAATTTTACCCTGAAAAGAAGGTGGTAGAAGCATTACTCGTGAATTTTAATCTAAGAATTTCATACATTTGTATGGCCTGTCTTTTGTGGCAATGATGACAGTTTGTGACAAAGAAACAACTTTTACCATTATAATTTATACTCTACCAATAAAGGGAACACAGAAATAAGAAATGCAAAATAAATCATAGTTCTAAATTAGAAATAAACAAAAAATAAAATAAAAAGCATGACGATAAGAAGCTGACTCATGATTTAAATGAAAGAGGAAAAAGGAAAGAAAAATTCAAGGCCTGAACCACAGGGTCTAAGAACTGACAACTACATGATTTTCAAAAAGCATTCATCTTGTGTTTGTGATATAGCATCTTGATATAAAGTCTTAATGGCACATTTTAATCTTAGTCACTTATATATTTTTGATTACCCAAGCAATATTTCAGTAGTTATTGGTGGGCAATCAGTGTCTGATATATTTCTAATTTTGCTTTCATCATATTCACCCTGGACATCTGTTTTCATTTTCAATGAACCCTTAAAATCCCTTGATGTGCTCCCCCTTGTTCAGGCCAGCTGTTTCTGTGGTTTTCACCAGCCTGGTACCGAGACCCCTTTGATCTTCATTCCTCCTTCTCTGCAAACACATTTCAGAGGACTGTTCAGTGTATATCTGTGGGTGTTTGCCTCTGCTTCCATCAGCCACTGGATGAGGGCTCTAGGATGGCATAGAAAGTAGTCATCGATCTCATTATAGGGGAAGGGCATTTAGGGAAGCCTCTCCGCCATTGCCTAGATAGTCAATTGGTGTCATCCTTGTAGATCTCTGGAAGTCTCCCTAGTGCCAGATCTCTCCTCAGACCTATAATGACTCCCTCTAATATGGTATCTCTCATCCTGCTCTCCTCTATTCTTCTCCCAACTCAATATTTCTGCTACTCCATTTCCTCCTCTCCTCTCCTCTTCTCCTGCTCTCATTCTGGAAGCTCCCTCTCCCCTACCCTCATACTCCCAATTAGCTCAGGACTTCATGCATA